ACTTCTGCGCGCAGCAGATTTTGACTGAGTAAACAGTTAGCTTCCCCGTTAGCACTTAGCAGTGCTATCTCCACACAGCTCAGTGTGGAACAGACTCTCCTGTCTGTATTAACGCCTCGGCACGAACTTTTAAGCTTCTTATAGCCTCTAACGGCGCTGATAACTCCCTCACGTTTGTTTATTTCATAAACCGTGATGACAGCTTCTGAGTCGCGACCTCAGAAAGCTTTGTCGTGGAGTTTAAACTGGCTACACTTACGCGTATGCGCAATTACGCACGTAAACCAGACCAGAATTATAGTTCTCAAACGAACACACTGGATTTTAAGGATCCTATTTCACTCATTCATCCACAGATGTGAGCACAAGCATGCATTCACTCGCTTTTCAAGCGAACCACGGTTGCTGCTTTCTTAGAGCTGACGGCGCAGCTCTCAGCAATAACCTCCTGCTGTCTGCGCGCAGCGGCGAGACACAGAATCACAGAACCGGACCGCGGCGGGCCCAAACACAGATTTGCCAGGGATAAACAGATTTTTAACAGGACCAAGTCTGCAGTACTTAGAACTGATTCTGTACACTCAAGCAAAGCCGTTTATTTTTTTTAAAAAACACCATGCCAATGTGAAAAATTAATAATTAATTTTTTTTCATATTCATAAACAGATTAATATTTCATCAGTCCAGGACTAGCACTTTGTCCGCATTCTCCACCATTTATGTAGTGAATCACTCTATGAAACTTAGGACCAGCCTAAYCTTCACAAAATAATCCCTCAAGCCAGATCTTGCAAATGAAATCCCAGAAATAATGAAATACACCTCTGATCATGAATGTGAAAAATGAAAACTTGTGACCTGAACAGATTTCTCAAAATAAAGTAATTTATTTCAGATATATGAACAGGATTAAACATACAAACATTTATTAAAAATATTATATGAATAAATGAGCACAAGTTATATATCGACATAAAAATTTCACCTCAGAGTTGACAAAAACAGTAAATTCCAGGTGTAGTAATTTACTGGCACGCTAAATAACTAAACTTTAAGTAAATAAGAGTAAAGGTAAAGATTTTAGCTTTAAGAAATAGGAGGAAGGAAAGAAATTAGTGAATTTAGCACTGTTCTTTAAATTAGGACCAGACCAGCACACATTGTGTCGAGACCAGACATTTCCGGGGCTAGACTTCAGCGTCTTTTTATCTCAGCAAACGTGTTTCTACCTTTTAGACGTCTTCCGTCATGCCGAACAGGCAGGCAGGTAGAAGAAGATTTGTGAGTGACAGCATGCGAAGTCCGCAGGATAATGTCGCTCGTGACACCAGGGCTGAGGAGGGAGACTCCTGTCTCATCCCAGCGAGCCTCCAGGCTCTAGGTGCTGGCCACCTCAGAACAGTCGCTTCGTGGCAGTTAGTGACTTTCAGTTCACATCCACACAGGCAGGTGTCCAGCCGGACACCTGAGAGAGAGGCTCAGACAGAACCATCCGCTCAGGCCAACAGACGAACAACGAAC